AAAAAAAAAAGAAAATAAAACTAAAATAAGTGGTGGGGGAGGGGTATAATTGTCCCATTTTGTATAGTTCAAGGGTAGTTTTTTTAAGAAAAAAATAGGGAAGGTGGGGGTGTGCCACGTGGATTTTAAAAAGAGAAAAATATTTTTCTCGGAATAAAAAAATTCGAAAATTGTGTCTATTAGTAATAGAGGATAGAAATGGCCCTTTTAGGTCATGGTAGAGGCACAAATGATGACAACTTTTAGCTAGCGTTTGGCCATAGATTCTCAATTTTTAAAAATAAAAAAAAATTGATTTGGATGAAGTTTGGTTTGAAGATGAAAATTTGTTTGGACATAATTTTTCAAAACATATTTCACTTTTTTTTTGAAAAAAAAATGAAATATGACTTATACCCATAAGTTTTAAAAACTATCAAAAATACCCAACAACTCTGAAGAAAATTCATACAAAACAAGCAAAACAAATCTGAAGAAAATTCATACAAAACAAGAGAAACAAATCTAAAGAAAATTTATACAAACATTAGCAGATTTTAGCAAATTACCTTCAAATTTTATCTTTGCGGTGGATTGTCACATATTGGCACAACAACTTTGGGGAAGGTTTTCTTCTATTTATAGAGAAGGGCAAAGTCGAGTGAGTTTAATGAGGGAATAGTAGGTAGATATGGATTAGTTGAGTCATAATAACCGAAAAAAGGCTTTTTACAAAAATTTAGGGCAATTTTTGAAATTTTTTTAAAAACCAAACGGTAATATTTTGAGCCAAAAAAAGCTCTTGAGCTGGTTTTAGGATTTAAAAATTTGCTAAAATATGAATAAAATCTATAAACAAACGGGTATTTTTCAAAAAAAAAATTGAAAAAAATCTATGGCCAAACGGGGTCTTAATAAAGGGTAAACCTGTCCTATTTCTAATAGTGGAGGGGAAGTGTTGAACCTTTTCCGATTTGGAAACATCCCCAGATTTCATGAATCTCGCCCGTAATTCACTTGGGAAAGGGTCAATATATTTCAATTAAAGCAATTGGAAGGACAAGTTGGGCACTTACACATCACATCTTTACAGAAACCGTACCAATGCACGACTCACTGTTTGTGCAATAGTGAACTCCTCAGACCCTAGCTATATGTCACCAATTTTACAAGCCAGAACTTGGGATCCTTTGGGATAAGAGAAGAGGCCCATGCAAAGTTGTAATCAATACATTGCTTACTGCTTAGTAGCTTAAACTATATATTACATAAAATCAATCAACAATGCTGATTAACAACCAATTGCAACATGCTAAATTTATATTGTATGAAAGCAAAACTTGGAATTAAGCATCGGTGATGATCAGAGGCACATTCAGGATTTGAAGTTTATGGGTTTCTACAGCAACCTCGAGTAATTATACAATAAGTAATTGGGTTCACAATCAAATATTTATGGATATTTAGTGAATTTTTCAATACGTATACAAGATTTGTGCAAAAGTTACTTGGTTCATGGAAACCCACACCTACTAAGATGGATTAATTTGACTGATGGTCATCCAACTTATCATTTATTTCACAAAAGTCACTTGACTATTTTTTATCACTTAAAAATCGCTCAACTTTACCTTTGTAACTTAAAAGTCATTATAGTTCAAAACCTACAAAATATCCAATAAAAAATATGATCATCCCGTATCTGTTTGCCCGCACCTTGGTTATTCCACATAATATCTGCTACTTCTGTCACTACAAGTACTAGGTAATTGAGCAATATGCATCAGGGCTTAAAAGAAACCATCCAGCATCTTTTTTATCTCTTGCTAGAATTTGAACGTGATTTTCAGCCATTTCATCGACTGCTAAGCAACAGCTAGCCTTTGGTGTTTTAATGGCAATGGTCCTCAATCATCATGCAGATTATAAGGATTAAATATACACTTTATAAGAAATTTTTTGGTGAAAACATCTACTTGAAAGAATAAAAAAATACAACAAACCTACACTAGTGAAAATAGATAATGAAATGCCACAATACCTATTGCAGCCACAAGAAAGAATGATATGTTATATCCAGATGGAGCTTCAGATTTCTTAAATGGCTTGGTTATGGAATTATTAGTGTTGTTGCTCCCACAGACTCCAACACCAATGAAGACTGCATCTGCTTCAGATGGACTTAAACACAACCCTGGATTACCACTAAGGTTCAAATTCCTACCTAACCTTTTCAAGAAACTAGAATTAAAAGGAACCACACCTCCCAGAAAATTCCTGCTCAAATTCAAGTGATATATGTGTGAAAGACTGGAAAATCCAACTGGGATTTCCCCTGTCAATTTGTTATTCTGTAATGACAAGGTGGTTAAGTTCAAGAGCTGTGAATAGCTTGCTGGTATTGTGCCTGAATAACCAGAGCCAGCAAGTCTTAATTCTTGAAGTTTCTTCAGCTGACCAAATTCTACTGGTAATGGTATGAACATTGGATTGTCATCCATAAGAAAATATTGCAAACTCAGAAGCTTTGCTAATCCTTTAGGAAACTTCCCACTTAATTTGTTGTTACTTAAAGCCATGAAACTCAAAGAAGGCAAGTTTTCAGTGCTCTCTGGAATACTTCCAGTAAATGCATTGGAGCTCAAGTCCAGTTTTTGGAGCATACCAAGTTGGCCAATTGTGTCAGGGATTGGCCCAATGAACTTATTGTAACTCAAATCAAGGCCTACAAGATTTTGGAGATTGCCAATTTGGTGTGGAACTTTACCTGTAAGCTTATTGTAGCTCAAATCAAGATGTACAAGAAAGCTCATGCTGAAGATTTCTACTGGAATTTGTCCAATTAAACTGTTCTGTGACAGTGTAAGAACTTGAAGCGACTTTAGTGAAGAGAGTTGAGAAGGGATAGAACCAATGAGTGCAGGGTTTGATCTTAGACTCAGCTGCTGAAGTGAAGAGCTGAAAAGTCTGTTTCTTGAAACAGATATTCTTGTTTTACTGTGTGTGAAGCATTGGATAAAGAAAACAGATTCCAGATTTGGGAGTTGGAAAATAAGATTAGGGAATGTGGCTGTAGGCTTGCATGTTGGGTTAGGACGTGTGCCAAAATCAAGCCTAGTAACATGGGATTTATTATCAAAACCCTTTTTGCACCCAATACCAAGCCAAGATGAACTTAGTTTACAAGGATATGGGTGTGAAATTCTCCAGTTTTGATCAGAGGAAACAGTTTCCATAATCTTGAAAAGAGTTTCCAGCTCATGAGGATCCATGTTTGTTGACTGTTGATTGGTGGAGACACAAAGGGTAGAAAGAAATGAAATGGACATGATGAGCAGTAGAAGCAGAGGAAGAGAGAGTGAAAATGAACAGTACATTGTGTTGAAGTCTGTGAAAATATGTTCAGTTGTAGGTGTTATATCTGGTTTATTAAGAACAGAATCATTTTTAAAAAGGCTGTGTATGTATGGGGTTTTGGGGTTTGGTTTCTTTGGCCAGGGGAGAGGGTGGAGAATTTGGTGGGGTTGTGAACTGAGTGCAATGTGATTGAATGATGGGTGAGGGACATGATATTCAGTGAAAAAATAAATCCTAGGTAGGGTCAGAAAACTCTGAAAACCATAGTGAGGGGAGACAGAGATAGAGAGAGTGGATGGAAAATAACAGAGAATATGTTTTCATTTTCCTAGGTTTGTTTTGGATGGACCACATAGAAAACATATCAAAATGTAGGAAACTACACAATTTTAGGTAGCTTCATTTTTTTTTAATCAACACTAATGAAGACATGGCTTTGCAACTTCATTCTCCAATCTTGCCTAAATTGAGAGATGGGCCAATTCCTAAACCCTGTTATCAACTATAGCTTTTTTTTCTCTTTTTGGCACTTTTTTCTTGATTAATGTAAGCATCTTCTCCAATCGTAGACAGTTTAGATTAACAGATATTAGTAATATTACTTGTTCATTCCCTCCATAAAATCTGATGCTCAATGACATTATGGCTTGTTTGACACATTGCTTGACTCAATTTCCAATGGCTGCTACTCTGAAATGATAAAATAAAGGGAGAGAAGAAAAAGAAACAGTATTATATGATATAAAACATTCAAAGCAAATTCCTTTTACACCTAAATCTAGAGCCTAGACAGACGCACGAGTTCCTAGTTTCCTTAGGTAACTAAGAATCAATTTTAACTTTTAAATAAAAGAGAAAGAGAGAGAGAGAGAGAGAGCATGAAACAAAAGGAAGAAATTTTTACATCTTGGTGAGGTAAACAGTAAACTGACTGGTAGTTGGATTAGAGACCTACTAAATTCTCCCAAATTTACCCACCCAGTCTCTGTACGATATTTTGGCAAAAGATGTACAATGAATACCTGTTGGAAATGTTAGATTTCAGTAAAAATTACAAGCAAACAGCAAACGGTTAAATTTCAGTAAAAAATACAAGCAAATAGCAGACAGATGTCATTAAAATTACAAGCAAACAGCAGACGGTAACATCTTGTAAATCAAGCTCTAACGCAAACGGTGAAAAAATGATTCCTCGACATTGGCCACATGCACAAGTGCTAGATTGCAGTGAATTATCAGTGACCTATTAACACCTTTTTTTTTCAAGAAAATATCTCAGTTCATTGGACTGATTCAGAATTTACAAGAGCTCGATTGCTCAACTCTTAATCGCTTCTTTACCAGCTCAAAGCATCGAACCTCGTCAGAACTCAGCTCGAACTTATCTACGCATGGAGAAACTTGAATGGCACCAAGGGACTAAGTTGAATGTTTTGTAGCAACACTTGCTCGCGTGGCAATTTACTACAACGCAGCACCTTTACAAATTGATAGAAATTTTGCATTCGCTCATTACAAGCTGTTATGTATTATTATTAAAGAACCAAAAGCCAGGAAATGCTAGTGACCAATGACCAGTAATCTGGCCACAGGCACAGACGAATGACAATCCAATCATCAGACACAAGTTGTTACACATAGCTGACAGGTGAAATTACGGCCTATTGAATCAAGAAAATAGAAAAAGGAAGGACCAAAATTTCAACTGATCAAAGCTCCCAGTTTGGACATTCTAAGAGAAATGAGAATTGCGACAATCTTAAGCAGAGGAATATAAATAATAGAAGGGACAATCCACCAAACATCTTACACAGCATTGTTATTGTAGTGAAGCGTTTACACCTTAACCCAAGTCTTTCTGTCCACACAAAACAAACGAGGTGAGGATCCTCACCAGCTGCGGGCAAGTCAGGAAGTTGTCCAAAAAGTGACACCGCAGATAATTGGATGTAAGTACTAACTCTTCTGCCTCCTGATGTGCATGCACTTGGTCAGTGAGACAAAAGGTTGCATCAATTGTAATACTGCAAGTTAGGTTTCAGGGTTTAAGAGAACATTCGAAGGAAGTTGTTCGCATAGGCCATCGGCTTGACATCAGGATGTGGCTGCATATTAATGCAAAGCAATGAAGATGCAAAGATTAGTCCAGTCTTAAGCTTAAACTGAGCCAACCCATGAAAGGTAGAGAATTTTTTTTATGTATTTCTAAACGCATTAGTATCAAGGAGTTAAAAGAACATTTCAAAGATAAAAGCCACTAACCACTGCTGAAAAGGTCACAACGTTTGGCTTCATATCGGGAGCCTCAAACCGTATAAAAGCACCCTTGTTACCCATCTGCAACATGCAAAGCAATTGTGTTTGAGTATATTGATTAAATGATTTCCATCCACATCAAGGGAACTTCATATAGGAACAAAACCATGCGTACTGAGTAGTACGAGCAGAAATTATTTACAAATTTCAGGATACTCGCTCTAATTGAAAGACAAATGTATAGATAACACACTTCAAGCTATCAGATTATCCTGTCAGATTTAATCACCACTTATGTCTCAGAAAAGTAGCAGATAAAATGACTATATGTACTCTAAAATTATATTATGAGCAATATACAAAACTCACAATGCTTTGGTGTATCAAGAAACTCCAAGGAACATGATACCATGCCATTTACCAAATATGCTCACAATGGCATCCACAAAATTGCCGACAAAGTCGATAATATCAAAAAAAATCCAAATCCACCTAGAAACAGAAATGCCCCTAGAAGTTCTTATCGAGCATTAGAGTACATCCTTCTGGAGGCACATAACATGATTTGTTGTAATTTCAGTTACTTTTTAATGACATTTCCCATAATTTTAATATCCTAAATGAAGCAATAAACTACCAGCTGATTCAAGTGCTAAAGGCACTATCTCTTTGGGCTGTCCTCAGGCACAACTTCAAGGCTAAACTTGACCGACAATTGCAGAACTACAAAATCTATACATGGAGGAAACTCGGTAGAGGTTTGGATGAAATGTTACATTTCATCTAAAGGCAGCTTTTAACTAGAAGGTTTTCTTTTACTTGCAAATTGTGATTTTTATTGACCTTAAGTTGCATTGAGCTCAAATAGGTTCCTGAGGAGAATACGTAGAGACAAATAACCTGGTCACAGTAATTTGGAGCAGAAAACACTGTGATGAGCTTGCCGTCATGCTCAATCTCATAACCTTCATCCTTCACTTCATGAGAACGGACCACTAAATCTGCAAGCATGCACACTTGTCAGCATCGAATATATGTGGTAATATACATCAAGAGGACAGAAATAGACTGAAATGTCAATTCTCTGCATTGTCAAATAACAGAATAGGGGAGAAAGGAAAAGATAAATACCTAGATTATTTTCCTGCAAGAATCTTTTAGTTATATCTGCCCCGAAAGAAAGACCAACACCTCGTTTACTAGGTCCTCTACCAGGCTGAGGTTGTGGATCACTCCATAGCAATTCACACATTAACCCTGAAGGAGATCAAACAAAGCCCCAGTTATTACCTAAAACAGCTTGGTCATGTTACTATGCCTGACCAAGGTAAGAAAATATAAATAAACAGCAGTAACAAGTCAGGAAATTTTTTATTCTTTATGAGAAACAAGTCAGCAAATTGATAGTAAGTATCAAAAAAGTAAGTCAATAAATCAACTAGTAAATATGAAGCATAACTGGAGAAAGATCCATGTTGCTCGGCTGACAAAGCATGGATTAAATAATACTCCAGTCTGGACTGAAACTGTCTCTATTAAGCATGTATCAACAAAGTGGCGTGCGGGAACAATGTGTCAATGATAACCACCAAGCAAGTGAGAATGGACAGTGTTTTATATTACAAACTTGTTGGCATGCATAGTTTATCCTACCTGTTGTTTAGGAAAGTTAGTCAGATAACTAATGGAGCATCAAGGATCTCAGAACAGAGTAATTAGCAGTTGTGCTACAAGCAACAATAGCATATTGAAAGGCTAAACAAAAATACTTCTCTACTTGCATTACAACTTACCCTCCTCCGGGGGCTCACAAAACCGATCGATTGTTCTAATATCAGAAAGTTTCACACCATCAACACTGAAAAGACCTCCATGAACTACAAAGACTTTCCCATTTATGACATGAGCCAAAGGCAAGCAACAGAACACTTCTGCAAAGAGTTCCACAAAGGTTTCACTTAACTTAGATCTGACCTCGCCCTCAAACCCATATATCTTGTTCATGCTCTTGCTTTCATGATTTCCTCTTGCAAGGTATATAGCTGAAAATTTGAAGCTGTTAGCAAGATACACTTGGCCCATCTAAACAACTCTAAAATCAGTGATAAACTCACTGAATCAATGAAAAAACGAATTACTTTTAAGGTCATGCTAGCAGAGAACTGATGGAAAAAAATCATATGTAAACAAACAAAATCTTAGCTTTGATCTAAGAGCTTAATGTATTGCAATATCAGAATGCTCAAACAAAAGCATTAAGACACCACTTATACCTACAAGGGGCCCAAAATGGCACATTCACTTGTTAGCTGACTTAGCTCTAGTTGATGTACCAAAAAAAAGAGAAAAACAGAAAATGAGTAATGGAAAAAAGAAAAATGACTCAAAAAGATTAGTAAGGTTAAGGCAAAAAAAGAGGAGATTGGAACTTGTATCCAGAAAACCTTTAAATACCACCTGATACTAAATGGGAGTAAGAATATAAAAGAACCCGAGCTTACAGCACTGAAGAAGAATGAGAGCAAGTGGTCTACCTGATGGACACATGCACTTGAAGGCAAATAATGTCAATATGACCTCCAGAGAGAAAGACCCTCTATCAACAAAGTCACCATTGAACAGATACGGATTGTCTTCGGAAGGAAACCCATTGAGCTCGAAAATATTTAGAAGGTCATAAAACTGCAACAACAAAAGTTTAGAGCCATGTTGAGACTTATCACCAGGAATAAAAAGGAGTAAGTCATTCAGCCAGCACAAAATTAGAAGACCCAGCAAAATGTATTCTTACTATATAAACAGCAAGGAGAGTAAAGGACTAAATGCTACATCCTGCAGGCTGCAGCACATATCCAAAGGCACAAACAAGTTCTCTTTAGGATCTGTTCCTTATTTGAATCAGAAAAAACTACTGTTTTACCTAATCTTACTGGCCAATTATTTGTTTGTCAAATATTTTTCCAGTTAGCTTGACAATCACACAAGCAAGCCGAATTTCATTCACGAGACCAGCTGTGGTGCCTGTAAAAGGAGTTCACAAGCCTATGCTCAGGTTGAACAAATTAAACAAACGCTGGCAATTCTGATAAAGGTAAGTAAGTGAAGCAAGGGAAAACGACAGGAGGAGGTTGAGGGTGAATAATGACGAAAAGATACACTTTATGTAGAGGTTTTTGGTACAAAGATTTGGTGAAGAGCGTAAAACAACCGAAGGTTGGATGGTCTGGAAGTGGGTCAATCACAAATGGTTGTCTACAGCTAAAGTAGAAAGGTTTCTTAAATTCCCTTCAAAAGGGGAAGCCGGCCATCTTACCAAGCAAAGAGTGGCATTTCAAAAGGATGGAGTACCTCACTTATCAGGGAGACAGTTCAGAGTTGGTGTTGGATAGCGCCTGGATTAGTCTTGTGGGCTTGCCAGCTCAGTTCTGTAGCCCGGGGATTCTGAGGGTTGTCGGACAGGCCAGAGTGTTAATCAAAGTTGACAAAGAGACAAGATTGAAATTTGAATAGAAGGTTCGTGATACTGTGTGGAAACCTAATACAGGCTCCTCCCCACCTTCTACCAAAATTAAACTTCAAGAGCTTTTATTTTATAATGTTCCTTTCTGAGTGGAAAGAGAAGTGCATACTAAATATGAAGGTGACCCAGTCTGGTAAGAAGGAAGGTGAAGAAGCTTCTCCCAAGTAGAGAGGAAAAAACTGAGAGGTGGGCCCACTGAGTATGTCATCAGGGAAATCCAAATTCGGATTTCAGTGAAAAAGGGAAAAAGGGATGTATCGGCCGTGCGACAAGTATAAGAGGAAGGGACTGCGGTTCAGATATGGTAGATAGGCCTTACATATTAAATCGCATGAGCGCTAGAATTTAGCTCACGAAAGAGCTCTAATATTTAATTAGGGAGGGGGGAGGGTAGACGAACAAATATGATAAAGGGTAAAAGCCCACAATCTTTAATAGGTTCCAGCGCCTTAAATTTGCTTACAGGTTGGAGCCACTCAGAGCCCAACTTTTCTGGCAATAGGAATGCACCCTAAAGTTTCTCCAGAGAGATTGGTGAACCAAGCAGCAAAGTTTGAAAGAAACAACAGTTTCCTGTTTTAGCTATTCTTGCATGTAATAGCACAACTAGCAAGCACCTTAAAGTTCTGGGGCTTTCTATAAATGCATGTTCCTTGGTTGATATCATTTGATGGCATAACAATCTTGTGCTAAAGGGCAAGGTGAAACTGGAAAAACAGAACAAAGGACAAGAAGTAAATGACAAAGATGACAGCAACAAGCTTTAAAAAGGCATCCGTCGTCAGGATATTCATTACCTGACCATGTACATCACCACATACAGTGAAGTGTTTCCCTTCGGGGACAACAATGTCAACAAGGGAGGGCAACGCTCGCAACATTTCTCTTGTTTGCAGAACTACTTGGTAGGCATATCTATCAAATAAGAGCAGCCATTGAAAGATAAAGAAGCATGTCAAAAATTAAAGAGAAGATTATGACCACATAAACGAAACATACCTTTTATGTAAATTCTTCTGGTTTTTGAAGTCATCCAGCATCTTCTTTACAAAATCTAATGTTACAACATCTCCCTCTATCCTTGCACCAGTATATTGAGGCTCCACTTCTACAATTTAAAACACCAAACCAACATGGTGAATTCATGTGCAGCAAAGGCAGCAGATTCTGATTCATTGAATTAGATGACGTATAGGCAGTACTAAACTATTAATAAAGCTTAAGCCATTGACAAATTGCCAGTTCCCCAACACAGACTCGTCACCAGGAGGTCTTACCACATAAATACAAATTGTGGAGTGGAAAAAGTCTCACATAAAAAATGGAAAACCTGAAAACATTTTTAAGGGAAAATGATCACACAGCCACTAGGAGTAAACAGCGTTGGCACATAAAAGCAACGAAGAATCAGAAGGAAGAAGAATCAGAACATGCTCAATGTCCAAATCCCCTAAACGAGTCTTTACTAACATATCCAAACTGTAATGGACGAGGACCATCAAACTAGCAATTACTGCATACATAAAGCTAATGCAGTAAATGCATAAGGCAACAGATGAATGTCCTCAGCAAGGGGCAGTTTAGAATTCTAAGCATGAAGTTCAAAATGAGACCTACATGGCAAAACACTGCTGTGTTACTTCACGCAGAGAGAAAATCTACATTCCCCACACAATACAATAACAGATGTGACCCAAGCATTGAAACGCATCACGGTAATGATGGGGTGAAGACTGTTAGCTGTTCCGACTAAAGATATACTATTATCTTACTATATTTTAATGGTTAGAAAGTAAGGGTGCTGTGGTACTCTAGGCGGTACAGTTAAGCCGGTGATTGATAACCCACCTATAATCGGGTAACAAAGGTGGAATAGTTAACACCATACCATACATATGACCCTCAGAGAAGGGCAAAAGAATCAAATGACTACTGTCAACACTGAATATTTGNCTTTACTCAAAAAGCAACATAACGCAATGCAACATAAATTAAACTACGAGCATTTGGTTCAGTTTGCAGCTAGTCCTTTTTTAGCTATTCCCTGATTCTGATGTATATCCTTTTTGGAACTACGACTGACTTGGGTTATTTACTTGTTGGCTTTTTTTCTTAGAAAGGCTCAAACCTAATTCAAGTGTTCGATTCTTGGTATCATTGTAGCGAGCCCACCGAAATGTTAGCAAGACCATCATTAAGGCTGCCAAAGCTGCTGCTGCCACCGCTGTGGCTGCCTTAGTCCCCATATATACCACCAGTACTGCCATTAGTGCTGCTGCCGCTGATACAGCAGTTACTTTGGTGGAAACATATGATGAGCCAGGGCCAGACCCTATAAGGATGAAATAGGTAAAATCGTACTATTAACATTTACTTTTATAAGAACGAAAATTATATGGACTAACATGAAAGGTTGAAAGTTGACTAAGCTTAAAGGTCTTTTATTTTAGGTTACTAAGTTTAAAGATCTTTATTTTGTCCTGTTATTTAAAATGAAAATTTATTGTTGAATCATCTAAGGGGCAGTCCCATATCAATTCAAATGGTCATTTAACTAAAAAATTACTTTAGTAACTAACATTTGATTTAGAGGGTTCCGTATTTCCTGAATTGGTCAGGAGAAGTGAGCAATGGCTCAATTAGAGTTAATTAGTCGGAAATGCATCCTTAACAACATCTTGTTATGTTCTTATATTCTTACAGAAAGTAATGAAGCAACATATCATCATCTGTAATGAAACAAGGATGTATAAAAGATCAAAATGATTTATCTTTATTTTGTTATGGTAACTTCAAATGGAGCATCTGAAAGAGGCGTGTAAGAGATAATTCGACAATTCCTACCATCTATCATCAGCAAAATGATGTCTGTGCACAACACAAATCTCTTTGACAAAAACAATCTAACCTATACCCTATAGACTGAGAAGTGAAGATAAATAGCATAACTAAACTACTGATGCATCAGGCTACACAAAAATGCGCAAACTCCTTCTAAGCCCTACTGATAAATAGAACTCATGACAGTAAATTCACCATTTTAAGGATATTGAGCAATTCCCATTTCCTCAATTAATGGATCAAATGTGTATGGCAACAAGCAGTAGTAGAAATTAAGAAAGGAGAGGGAAAGAAGCCTTTTTCCATTATAGTAACCATGTTCCATGCACCTTGCAAAGTGTAATGACACGTAAAAAATTCACCCAACAACTATAGTCATAGATGAAAGCAAGATAACTTCATACAAAATCCATGCTAGGAAGAAATTTATTCCGAGACCAGCTTGGAAGAAAGATCAGCTTGGAGCTGTCATACCTACGGTGTGATAATCAATAAAATCAGCTACTGAACGTCTCTGAGATTCTGGGACAGAAATAGCTTCTTCAAATTTTAGCTTCATGACAGCTTTCTCACATTCCTTCAATTTCTTGGTCGCATCTGGGTCGTTTGGACATAACTTCTTGACCTGAGTGAGAAAATAAAGAAACAGGTCCCATAAATTAGCAGATAGGTAAAACCTTCCATATGCTAGACCTAGAGAAGATAGGGGCATCTTCTGCACAAAACAATAAGGCAGACTTCAAAGAGACATGCAGACAACATCAGAGCACAGTGCACATAAAATGCAGAGACACCCAAGAAACCCACTTGGGAAACAAGACCATATAGTTAAGTTTTCCAAAATAGTGTCTACTTTGCGACCCATAATAAAGAATAAAAAACTTTCAATAATCCCTACTGAGACAAAAAATAATAAATTGATACGCTTTATCATAGGAAATCAGCAGTCCAAAAAGATTACTTGATATTTCTTCCAGTGTCCAAACACTAAAATTGCGTATGTATGTGTGCAATGTGTGTGTGTGTATATATTGCTTAGATATCAAGTACCGTTTTGGACTAATGTTTTTATATGTATCATATAGAGGAATTTTTATATGCGGTGACTAAGCTAAGACTAAAATTCAGTGTTGTGATACACTGCGAATAACCCAACTAGCAGTTCCCCCATTCGTCGCCAAATGCAACACCCTATGTTGCTCGGACTAGGGTGCGTGTATCCGATCCGGATGTGGATCTAGAGGTGTGGATCTAGAGGTCGGATCATTCATAATCTAACTTTTAAGATTCGGGGGTATGGATTCAAGTACGGATACGAGTGCAGGAATTCCACTAAAAATAATTCAAAAATCTAAAATTAAATCTATAAATATATCCAAAGTTATGAGAGATATTATCTGGAAAACTTATAGGCAACAGAATGCAGCCAATAATTCAATCTTTCATTTTGGGAATTTCTCAAGTTGTAGGCACTAATAGGCAGCAGCTAAAATTCAATCTTCCATTTCTAATTTTTCATCAAATTTGTCCATGGTTTATGGTCAAAGTATCCGATATCGATTGACCACACCCGGTACGAACCCTACACCCTTACTAGTACCAGTGTCGTGTCGACACGGGTGCGGCGGCTAAAATGAAGAGTCAGTGCAACATAGAATAAAACAAGCTGTATATTTTTACATGGACTAGAATCTCTCATAAAAGAAGGTTTGATATACATATGAATTCGGTCTTTTCCACCATTGCACAAACCATCAAAAGAACAAGTTGCTAAGACAATCCTAATGCCAAAAACACCTAAGGAACTAACTCTGAGTTTTAGAGCTCTATTGTGCACGGGTAAGTTGATGATGTCACAAAAAAAAAGGCACACCCCAAAAGTAAATCTGAGTCAAAGCACTTAAGCTGCCAGTCAAAATTAAACATTACAACTGTGAATTTACTTCTACACCTATTCTCTGGCTCACCCAGACTACTAAGAAATACATCAAATAACATCGTGGTGCATTCCCTTTTTTTACCCTATTTTTTTGGTGATTAAGAAAATTGATAAAGCATGCAATATCAGTATGTATTTTGCATGTGGTGCTAATATCCTGAGTAAAAGATCAGCTTTAGCATTCACTTTAGCCGTTATTTGCACTATGCTTTCTTTCTTATATCTTTGCCTTATATACTCTTCCGTAAATTTTGCCTTCTAATTCCCACTTTAGCTGATCCAGTAGTTAGAGAAGCAGCATTGCTCAATACTTTTCCATTTACCAAACAAATTCCTTCTTGCCAATAAATGAATATCTCATAACTATGGACCAAAAAGACAAGCCAGACCGGCACAAACTTACTGTTGATGACTTTAAACTAGTTGCAATTTAGTACAAACTCTGACCTATTTTGTTCTTCTATGTTGACTTTCACCAACATGTCATTGCACATGAATCTGATGTCAAATGTTGTTAGTATTTCCGGATAACTTATCTAGTACATCCGGAAGTAGCTAGAGCATAGAATTGGCAAGAAACCTAAAAGGTCACAAATGACATAGTGACGTACAATGTCAATTATCATTTTCTCTTCTAATGTTCTACCTATTTCAACAAGCAATGTTCTTCTCGACGCATTCCTTTGTACCTAATTAAAGCTTTAAAAAAATAATACCCAAGCAATTTGCAGCTGATATGACTGAAGAATTACAAAAAATAATACTCCACCAACCTGTTGAAAATCCTTGAGAGCGTCTTTGAACTTCCCCATTGCCAAATATGCCGCACCTCGCCTATAATAACCCTTCAACCCCAATCAAAACTTGTTAGAAATTATATCAAAAAGAATAACAAAGAAAGCACAGTTTTTTTCCCAATATTTTCACAATTAGGAACTAAACCTTTGAATATTTAGAGTCAATTTCAATAGCCTTAGTTGCATCCTGTATTGCGCTGCCATATTCCTCCAATTTGGTATGAGCAAACGCACGATTAGCCCAGTACACCGCATTCTCACTGTTCAATTCAATCGCTTGTGTGTACAAATCAATAGCTTGCGAATACTTGTGCCCTAAAAACACATTTGAAATCGAAAATATACTTTTTATTTGGAATTATGCATAAATGGGCACGCAGTGTAAAAAAGGAGGCTAAAATCAGTGTTATTCTTTTACCTTTGAATGCTTCATTTGCGAGTTGCTTGAGTTCCTCAGCTCTAGAGGTGTTTGATTTCTCAGTTTCCATAGTGGGCATAATAAGGGGGTACGGAGGCTAGTGTTGTTATGTGCAATCACAATACATGAACTTTCATGAATATGGCGTTTGTGTGTGTGTTTGGGGGTTTTATCAAAGAAGATTGAAAGACTTTGCTCAGTGCTTTCTAGCCCTAGTTTATAGTTCCGGCTCTCCTACTCATTGTTATTTTCTACTATACTTTAAAATTTTATTTTCAAATATGATAGTCCATTTTGAGTTGTAAATGGTAAAAATATATATATGGTGTTCGGGTAGATTTATTCGTATTGATTTATCATTCACCATAGAAATAATGGATAACTTTGCCAACAAATGTTTGAATAAAATTGCAAGAATTCATATTGGTATAAGTATGTATTAAATTTTTTATATATGTATTCTTCATATAATGGAATTATTTTTATTATTTTTGTTAATGGTATCGAATGAATTAGATGATATGTTATAGTTGTACAAGATGTATTTTGGTAATTGTCTGAAGGTTTGAGATGCACCGTATTAAAAGAATTTAATGATTTTTAAAGAAGTGTTGTTTTGACAACTAATGTTGCATAACATTCCCATATAATAAAATAAATTAAGATCAAAACTTCGACATCTCTTCTAATTACTTAGGAGTGTTTCATGTGTGTGTGCACACACCAATACTTCCCTGGCTTGTTTTATTTTGTTAAATATTAGTACTATATACTTTTTGTATCATATATTTGAGTTTGAGTTTTCATACGCATTATATGGTTGTATAAAGTATCACATCATTTATCAAACAACTACCACCTTAATGTATTAGTAAAAATAATTTTCTTTTAACCAAATAAGCGAATAATTATGTGTATTTGTACACCTTATGTATTCATAAATTTTATGTTGTCTCGAGAGGAAAAAAATTACTCCAATAATATGTGTGAATTGTGATGTATTTCTTATTTTTTATTGATGGTAATTGATACTTTAACGAGATTAATTTCTCGAATTTCATTTGTTACAAGGTTACATAATCACTAAAGTTGGAGTAGATGGACTTGTCTTACACCAAGTTGGGAAGAAGAAAATATACTCGCTGTATATAGAGAAATATATTTTCGACGTTGTCATTTTAAAATGACCGAGAGTTTTGCTTTTTGAAGTGTCAATCGCATAGGGCGACTAGGCCGAGTCAACCTATAATCCTCCACTGGTTGGATTAATGTTTCATCCAATTAGAAATGATAACAAAATGCATAAGTCATTAAAAGGAGTTCTAAAATACATATACATATTGTACCACCTAATTACCCTATTTCCCTTGTGGGGGAAAAAAGAAACATTATGTAAGGTACTACTAACTCTAAAAAGAGGAAATAGTCGAGCTACAAGAAAAATTTCCGCCGCTACCTATTTTAGTCCACTATAATAAATTTCTATCTTCTCACTAAAGTTAATAGTGATAAACTTAGTTTTATGTGGATATGCGGCAATTGCATGTCCATCTATCTTCAATTGCAATTCTTTAATCAAAACACAAACAAAAATGTCAACCATGGAAAAAAGTCTAGTCAGGACTTCAGGTACGCTTTGCCCATCTGCTGTAGGTCCAGATATGGCGTCAAGCTAGAGTCCCACTATGCCCCTAACCAAAAGGAAGAACACAAGTACAACTGTTGCTTCACTTAACATTCTTCAACTGATACATAAATACTCAAAATATAACAAAAGAAACATTCTCATATCCTCCACGTTCTACTATTATCATATAGTAATACTTTATGTTCAACCAAACCCCGGAAAATATTCCAGAAAATAGTTCTAAAGCATAAAGTTGCACGAAATGATTTTACATTATACAGAACACATTATCCAACCTAGTTTGAGCTTTCGAAAGTTTATATTGGAGCTGAGTGCTAAGAGAAACCATCCAAATCAAGTATACTTTCATACTATGACGCTATCATAGGCAAGACACGTGATGTAGCAAATGCCATATTAAACAACTACGCGCGTTCAGCTTGTGATACCTGAGCAAGTCCTGGCGAGGGAGCTTGGCACCGAAATATGTTAGACCACTAAATTTATGTGAAAATACAGCTCGCAGGATTAATGTATTTGTTTCACTAGCCAAACAGTGTAGTCACATGTCAAAAAACACGAATTACACTAAAGAGTTAACAGTAGCTAAGTCTCAACCAGAGTACAGTAGGTTGTCATGGATCAGGATCCCGCCCTAGCTGAATCAGTGCTCCGTTGATAATTATCAAGATATACAGAAATATGAGAATACACGTAGGAGGACCATGAGCTGCGCCTCCGTAGTGTCTGTAAATAATGGATATAGCAATTTTACAATAACCTGTCTTTACATAGTTGTGGTACTTCACGTGTTCTTAGGATTCAAGTGACTAAATCAAAATCATGGACGTTGCATCTTATGAAGTTTAAGGTTCTTGTAGGTAGAAGACCCTCACATTTTCTGTAAATATAAGGTGCTCATGTTTGGCCAACGAATTTACTTACCTAGAAGCAATGATGAAACTCAAGGCCCTGTTTGCATGATCAAATATTGTATCTTTCTTATGCCTTCACTGCCATGGTGCTAGATATTCCTTCTTGCTTGCTTTCATAATGAAAAACGGTCACTTTCTACTTTGAAGTCCCATAAATATCTTCGCATACACATAGCTGTTACCAAGGGGGCAGAGTAGGCTATGGTCATATGTCCTCCTGTATCTCTCAAGACCTCTACCGCTCACACTTATTGGTAGTGTAAATAAGCAGCATCAATACAATCTGCACATGGACGACACTCTAAAATGTGTATCCTCCCACTGCCTTAAACTATTTCAGCCCAAAACTTGTCAGCACCCAACTCTACCATAATGAAACAGGAAAAACAGGAAAAGATAAAACTAATCCATTTAATAGAGTATAAGAAAACGAGAGACAAGGATAACCTTAGTGGAATCCATATTTTCCAGATCATCGAAGAGTCTTTTCCGACTTCAACTACCAAAGCTCAAGGGTTTACATCAAATACTTCCAAATTTAAATCTCATCAGATACAGCATCTTCCTTTAGTTCATCTTTCTCATCAGACAGCCTTTGATAGAACTGCAAAACCTTGGGGTGCGCCTTGATCTTTGACGGGTTGAAATTGACTAGATGAAGTCCATCCAAGCTTTTAACGCGCGAAAGAGCAACATATACCATCCCAAAGCCAAAAACCCGGTAGAGATCTGTATGGAGGTTGTTCAGAGTCATTCCTTGACATTTATGAATGCTTAGAGCCCAAGCCAGCATGAGGGGAATTTGCTTTCGCATGGCAACAGCTTCATCTCCATCCATTACATACCATTTTTCTAGACCAATCATTAGTTCTTGTCCAGAATCAAATTTAACAACAGGTAGCAGGTTCCCATTTATGCAAATGTCAGAAATTTCATGGTCATACAATTTATGAGTATCTTGAACAACAGCAAAATCTAAGATTGTACCAGTAGCACCATTCACAAGTCCACCGATAACATCAATGTTCTTTGTCAAAAGCACCCTAGCTCCTACACACAATTTGAGCAGCTCAGGTGCAATTCCATTCTTAAGCTGCTTCTTCCAAGGATCCTTACCACTGTCAAGAGCTTGATAATGATATAATACCTCATCTAAACGGTCGAGTCGATCGGCATTCACTCTGCTCACATCCTCAATTCTTGGGTAAAGCTGAACAGCTGAAGCATCTGGCTCAACCTCTGAGCAGCATTGATCCAAGAGCTGCAAATCCTCAGAATCATACTTCCCTTTCCTAATTCCCTGTAGCAGCTTTATGAGTTGTGCATCTGATTGCCTAAAGATAGTCTTAAGTTCAATTTGCATGTCAAAACTAGCATTCCAACACTCAGCTTCAAAGGCAAATTCCTTGTTTTGTCCCTTCTTATTGATAACAGGTGGAAGCTGAAAGAAGTCTCCGCTCACAACTAGTTGTATCCCACCCCAACTCTTGTCCTCACACCCAACTTCATCACTTCTAATGCTCCTTGCAATGAACTCAAGATTATCAAAAACCTCACCACTAATCATGCTAATTTCATCGATAACCAAGGCCCTAACTTTATTCCATCTTCGATACGCTCTCTTATCCAATGTAACCCTACTAAGCAAATCCACAGCACTAGCATCACCTAGTCCAATTCCAGCAAAAGAATGAAGTGTTTGTCCATTGAGGGAACAAGCAGCAACCCCAGTTGAGGCTGTCACGAAAACCCGAGATTTCCCATGAATCTTCCTAAGTTTAGTGATAATATCCTGAAGTAAATAGGTTTTTCCAGTGCCTGCAGACCCAGTAATGAAAACAGAATTCCCATTTGAAATGGCTTCCAAGATTTGATTTTGTTGGTCAGTTAACTTTACTCTAGGTTTTTTGGGGGTTGTGAGTTTCACCTTGCTTTTTGCACTAGCTTGAGACCAACATGTAGCTTTGGAGCTCAAAAACCTGTAGGCTGTTGTAGCTGTGTGCAATGACAACTTCATATTTGCTAACTTCCCCCTTACCCCTTATTCAGTTAACTCATAAAAATCAATTCTTGGCTAATCACAAATTTCATCACACAAAATGGTATTTTGACTGTAAGGAAAAGAAAAATGGACAAAAACGTAAACTCTGTTCATTAGAAAGAGGTTTAGGGCGTAAGTTCCTGCTGGGGAACAAAATATTTCTCTATATAACAGCATTTAGAATCTTGTGTATCAGGCATTATAGGAAATGTAAGGGGAAAAAAAGAAAGAACTCATACGTTCAATGTTAAAGGGTTTGCTTACCGAACTGAATGAGGCTTCATCCTGCTTCATTTCCAGTTGAAACAGAAAAGAGAAGTTAGTTCTTACTATGTAACACGATATCATGGGCTAGTCTGATTTGGGCTCACCTTCGGGATTGTTACACAAATAGCCGGCCCAGATTTAATATTTACTTTTTCTAGCCGATATACATTGATTATATACAATTATACATATATAATACATAGATTATATACATATTATACATTCGCCGACTATTTTTAGTTTAAGAGATTAAGTGGACGGCTATTTGGTTGGGTTAATTAACATGCTTCTTTCTTAATATGGGCCTTAATTAAGCTCATAATGGACAAGTGGATTCCCAATAAAATTTGGTAGAAATGATACCATGTAGTCGCTTTATAGGGTTATTATTTAAAAATTAGTCAGTGCATCCTAAGTTTTAGCTTTTCAGTTTAGTTTTTCATGATAAAAATATCTTGAATTGTTCGGAAGTTAAAATTTTTAGTTTAAAATTTTATGACAAAATAAATATTGACTAATCTTTAAATATCATCCATGAGAATGGCTATTTGTGCCTTTGCCCTTATAATTTGTGCTGACACTAGCATTCATATAAGTAATACATTTATGTTCCGCCCTTCAATGTTATTCTAGTGAAAATGTGAAATTGTCTATTTGATAAATGAGTAGCGGGTTAGTAGTACAGCTGCTAATTGTATCTTAGATTAGAAATGTTATGTTCATTCTCACCAAACACCCTCGGGTGTTTATAACAACTCAATAAGTACATGTGCTTTTATTACTTAATTATAACTAATTAATTAACACATATTATTGCCTCAAATTTGTCACTAATTATAGGAAACTAATTTAGTTTGGTGTAATCCCCCTATGGATAAGTTTTCCCCCCTTTCATTTCACTTTTTCATACGTGGGCCTCCCAAGAAAGTTGAAAAAGAAAATGGTCTTTTTTTTTAAGCCAAAATTTGTTTAGTTCCCAGCACATTAGTTATTAAAAGTTATAGTCTGTTTGGCCAAATTTAAAAAATCAGCTTATTTTGAAAAGTATTTTTTCTCAAAAGTACTTTTAGAGAAGCAGTTTGTGTTTGGTAATTAATTTGAAAAGCGTTTTTGAGCAGCAATTAGTATTTGGCCAAGATTTTAAAAGTGTTTTCAAGTATATTTTTCTCAAAAATATTTTTCAAAAAAGTGTTTACGGAGAAAAAAAGTGTTTAAAAAGTGTTTACTTTTTTCTCCGTCTTTAAAACATTTTTTACTTCTACTCACAAGCATTTTTTTCTTTTAAAAGCTTGACAAATACTTCAACTTTAAAAAAAAAGAGTACTTTTTTGATAAAAACAGAAAGAGTTTTTGGCTTTGAATAAGCTTGACCAAACGGGCTATAAATCACAACACTCTCTCACAAAATTGTTTAAGAATATTGTAGACACGTGAACTCTAGTTTAAAAGATTACACTTACATGCTCTCTCTCCTTAAAATACAGCCACCACTGATAATTCAACAAATCCTAAAAGTTTTACCTAAGCACTTAATCCCTAGTTGGAGTGCGCAATTAACATGTTAAACTAAAGGCTTACACTTCATTGGATGTTTGGCTCATAGATTTATTCGTCTCTTCAAATCACAAAAGTGGAAATATTGCCCAAAAAGTGGAAACCCCTTTCTGTCATAACCAATGACCCAAAAAACAAATTACTTATCCATCACACGTGGTTGCATGTCCATATTTTAGGAACTTCCTTTACTTTCCTTGATATTCGCAAAAGTGGCATTAGCTTATGTCCAGAGTCGAAATATTTGCACTTCTTTCAACCTATGGGCTATGAGCAAGGGAAAAAGATTTACTAAAGTTGTAAATACTCCTACTCTAGTTAATGTTTTCTTATTAAAAAGCTGACACTTCTTGTTATCATTTATCATTTCGAATCTTAGCATAATGTTAAAAGTGTATTCCATTAAAGAAAATAAAATTGATCATGTAAGAAACCCGAAGCATGGTATATTATATATGGAGTAATACTTATTGGAGATGTCTTCATGTTGCCGGTCAACACTTCGCAGAAGCTAAGAGGGTATTTGGATTAGTTTTTAAGCGGGTCAAATCATCTTTTAAATTTTTTTTAGTTTTTTTATTATTTGTCAAAGTTAAAAAATGCTTAAAATAAGTTAAAACTACTTAAAACAAGCCAAAAGTAATAAGTTGGACAATCCCAACTTATTATTTTTTGGCTTAAAAGTTATTTCTGTTAAAAAATTACTTTTTTAAGTCAATCCAACGGGCTCTAAGTATGTAAAAGGAAGTTGATAATTTACCAAATGAATACATCTTAATAGAGGCTGAGTCAGTATTTGAAATTTATGATTTCGAATTCTAATCATTTTAAGGTACTGGGTTCTAAATTAACAATTTGTGTATAATTAATCAAATAATTTCTTAAAGACAAATATAATGTTTAGAGAAAAATTAATGAATTCAATCAAACCCGCAACTGCAAAGCTAGTTCCCCCATGTCTTAAAGTTGACATTTAAAATCATAGAATCAACTATCAAAAAGATACGTACATACTATATATACCATAGTACGATCCAGAGTTGAACGAGGGTTTACTAGTACAGTTTTAAGCTTGTTCCTAGCTCTTTCATTTCCTTTTCCTATCCTGTCCCCCACGCCAAAAAGAAAACAAAACTTAAGAAAACATATGTAGTACTCCAGACCAATACTAGCTAGGACAACACAAGGTTTTTCCTTTGACCAGTTTTCTAGACTTGAAAAGGACATCAATTATACAACTGTTTTCTTTTGAAGCAACAAAGAAATTAACTAAACTAATCAGTACAATATAACGTAGATGGGTGGATGAGTATTTTGGAAGAATTAGACAACAATGAATAATTAACGATATTATTTTTATGGTATAAGCAATTGACTTACGTACGCGGTTTTAATGGTAGGGTATGAAAATAGAAGAATTTAAAGCTTCAGTAGTGAATAGAGTGACTTGAATATGTTGCATACTCTTCTAATTAATTAAGGTATATTCACTGAAGGGCACATCGTTTGTCACAGCCCTGGGTACATAGCAATGGAGACTTGAGAAGCCAGGTTCCATGTGCTGTATCTTTCAATGAATCCTACATGTTGGTTCCATCATTTGCTTGCAAAATTTTCCATGCATCAAACCATAGGATTCGACACAGAAGCGGAGCCAGGATTTGAAATTTATGAGTCATGAACTTACCATCGAACTCATAGCTCGTTTTAGTTACTGAATTCTTACATATATATACAATACATGATCAGAACAAAAGTTATTGTTTCGTCCGAACCAGGACAGATCCACCTCTCGACCTACGGGTTCACGTGAACCCAAGTAGATTTTGTCCAAACATTGTAAATGTATTCGAAAATTTTACTAAATATTTATAAATATTTGAATACGAACTCAATTACTATTGAAAATTTATTTCGAACTCGTTGCAGGAACTCGTAAGCATTAAATTCTGAATCCGCCTCTGGTCCGAACCAATAGCAAATATTGTAGCTAGATCCGCCCTGCGCGGACATCAATGGCGCGGGCGTCCATATTTCTACCATATATGTGCAAGTGAAAAGGTCTCTATGAAAATGTACAGATAAGAAAAAGTTAGGATAGGAAGAGGCAAGTTTACATGTACGTCAATTATTATCAAGTTGCCAGTTTGGATGAATCATTTCAAGAAGAGAAAAAAACCAGAAAATGTAATACACACTCCAACAACTCAATATATGGTGTTGAGAGACAGGAGTCCGAGACAAGTGGTCTCGTTTTCTGTTTCCTTCTTTTCTTTCTATCCATTTACGTGCAACATTATGGGGCAGCTACCTGTTAGGGTTATCATCACTGTCCACCCTAACGGATTCACGATTTAAATTTAAGTTTGAGAGTTCAAAATTCTATCACGGTTCATTTAATTTTTTTGGTTTAAAATTTAGTTGATTTTTAACGTGCATACAGAATTTGAACTAAAGTTACTAAATTAGAATGAACATATAACTTATGTCTGCCCTAGCTTCCCTTCACCGTGAAGCATTTCAATTTCGAGGAAGACTTAGAAATTTCTCCTTATAAAAATGAGATCTGTTTACAAAATCTTCTTGTGATTCAAGGAATATCTCATTGTAATTATACTTACGTCGGTCGTTTGTTTTCCACAAGAAAAATTAGGAAAAGCTATTTTTCTTACACTAATAGTGAAGTATTTATATGTTATGAGTAGGGTATTAAGTAGATGACTAGTTAATGAACTAATGGGCTAATTAGCACCCTTACTCTTTGAACTTAATTATAACTAAGATGCCCCAATTCGGTCATGATCATGAATTATGACCAAGAACTTTATACTACGTTAATTAATTGTACTTTTAATATACACAAATCATATATCGTCTCAGCAACTAATTTGTTCCCATGAAAATAGATGATCCTATGGGTCATTTTAGGATGGAGCCTTGCGTAAAGATGAACTCTCCAGCTGTAGCCACAATTCTACGCGTTAGGAGAGAATTTCTACACATGAGTTTTAAGCCTTGGAACTCACATGTAGTTACCAAAAGGAACGATATAATTTGGAATGACAATTGCCAGAGAAGTCTTGGCATAGTAGTTACCAAGTTAAGGTGGACGTGGTAAGCCTCATATTGATTTCTATTGTAGCGTGGGCTTATAT